GCTATTCTAATGAATGAAAGGATAAAAGAGTGATGGATTTAATGAAGGATGGTTGAAGGAATCTCCTTGTCACTGACCTTCCCGGCTCCATTCTGCCCACTGCATTCCATCCTGTGCTGTGCACATGGAGTCGTCGGAAACCGTCCTCTATGTACGGAATAATACCTGAGGGCCTTCCAGTCTCTTGGAAATCAGTATTCTTCAAGTTAGTCTCAAATCCCCATCTGGTTCCATTGCATCCCCCGGGCATCTGTGTGGCCAGCACCTTAAGAAATATTCATAACAGACTTGGGATGATGGGAAGCCCAGATACATTTAGCTTTGTTACAAAACAGGACTTTTTTGTCTAAACACACAAAAAGTTATCTTCAGAGTCTATGTCCACCGCAGTGAGGTCAGCAGTATTCTTAGGAGCCAGACAGAGGGTCAGATTTCCACACCACGACATGCAACCCCACCATGGGGTGAGTTTTGTGAAGGCGGAGGAAGGAGAGGGTGAGGTGGTGTCAGGCCTTCTGGAGCTTTGGTGTACCCCTAGCCCTAGAGAGTCAGTCTGGAAGTGGGCAGGAGACAGTTCCTCTGGGCCAGGTGTCATCAGCCCCAGCCTCAGCACTGTGCAGAAGCAGCATAACTGCGGAGTACAGGGCCGCTGCCCAAGGCATGACCACAGCCGTGGCTCTCTGTGGAGCTAGGCCAAGGATCAGTCCCCCAGACTTCTCTGGCACCCCGCTAACATGCCTCAGATCCCCATAGAGCCCCTTATGCGGGACCAAGTGCATGCCGACTCGTCTGTATAACTCCCTTGGCAGTTAGGCATGCCCTTGACTGTATCTTACTACATCTTTCCCTTTGAAGGACTAACCAGCATGTCCTGTCTTTTGAGTGTATGTTGTACTTGTCATTGTCTTCCTGGGAATTACTAGGTCTCTTTTTCTATCTAATTGTAAGCAAGAAAGAAGTCCTTTTCCACATCTTTGCCAACCTCCCTCTGACGCTGGGATTATTGAATAAACCCAAGGTTCTGCCCATTTCAACCCTAATTGTCCTCTCCAGCCTTGACTCCTAAACACCCCCGCCTCCCCAAATGTCCTCATAATCCCTAACATTAATGCCTGTCCATCTCTACCTTTCTCCCTCCTGTTAAAATTGTCTCTCTCCTAATGACACATGGTTCAGATGCTGCCCCGTCCTGAAACTTAGAGCCTCTGCCCTCTGTGTTCTCATTGAATTAAGTCAGAGCTGTCATCACATCTGGCTTTGATTAGAAGTATTTGTTTAATTATGCTAAGTGCAGTAAGCCAGACTCAGGGAAAATATTGTATGAGTCCACTTACATGAAGTATTCAGAATAGGCAAATACGTAGAGACAGAAAGTAGAACCGAGGTTGCTGGGGGGCAGCAGGGGTGCGGAGGAATGAGGAGTTTTTGTTGAATAGGTATAGAGTTTGTGTTGGGGATGATGAAAAAGTTTGGGGTACAGACACTGGTGATGGTTACACAGCATCATGAATGTATTTCATGCCACCAAATTGTACGCTTGAAAAAGGTTAAAATGATAAATATGTGTATTTTACCATACTATAAAAAGGTAACTAAAAAACCCAGAAAGATTACTTGTTTAATAGTTTCTTAATAGATTGCAAGCTTGTGGGGATGGGGAGAAAACATGATTTTTTCATCTTCACCCAGCCCAATGCTTTGCATGGGATAATCACTCATTATTGCTTCAATTCAGGGATGGAAGTCAATGGAAAGAAGCACAGAATTCAGGCAAGGTTTCCCCATACCTCTTAGGAATTTTTAAAAATTCATTTTATTGTCAAATTGATTTTATCAGAGAGAACCCTGTGTAGTTGGAATTGTTTGATGGTATTATCTCAGAAAGAAAATGAAAAACATGAAATTAAAAATCATCCCAAACTGCTTTCTATTTTCTTAGTGTTTGCATTTATAGCATGGGGAGCATTTTAGCAAGCTCAGTTTGAATAATAATAGCTTCCGGGACGCCTGGGTGGCTCAGATGGTTAAGCGTCTTTCGGCTCAGGTCATGATCCCAGGGTTCTGGGATCAAGCCCTGCATTGGGCTCCCTGCTCAGCGGGGAGCCTGCTTCTCCCTCTCCCACTCCCCCTGCTTGTGTTCCTGCTCTCGCTTTACCTCTCTCTGTCAAATAAATAAATAAAATCTTAAAAAAAAAAAAAGATGAAGGGTGTACATTAAGCCTCACTCTTAAATATTTCAGTTCAAAAAATCCTTTTACTCTGCTGATCTGCAATTATAAATTATACAGTTTCATGCTGCACATAGTCTTACAAGTTAGAAAGAAGCATAAAGTTCTCAACGTGAACTCTCATCCAAGATTAGGGTGGAGAGATCAAGAGAGAAGTGAAATGTTTACATGAAGAAATAGGTGAGCGCTGAGAAAGTATCAGGTTACTGGGCTTTTTGCTATTTTTTAATTTTGGAAAATTGATAGGTTTCATATTCTGTCCATGAACTACCACCAGAGGCTATTTCCTACAGATGATTTTTATGGAGAAGAAATTATAAATTAATCTGGAGATATTTTCCTATGGAAAATAATCATGGACAAGTTTCTAAGATGTCTGTCATTTGCTTCAAAGTCTCACAGAGAGGGGAAGTAGGAGGGAGGATATAAATAAAACATGCTTGGCCACCAACAGATAATTATTGAAATAAAGTGTTGGGTACATAGGTGGTTTTATTCTAGTATTTCCACTGCTTGTTCAAATTTGAAGTTTGCCAAAATAAAAAATTAAAGGAAAAAAGGAAATAGATTCTGAAATGAGGTAGCCAGTGGTCTATTATTCCTTAAGCCTGCTCAGTTAATTCAGTTAATGAAGGTATTTGAAAATGAGGGACTTTGATTTGGCTCAAGGCACTATCAAGATAATATCTTGAAAGTTTATTACCAATCTGTATTTGAAATCCTGAGTCAGACTTTTTTTTTCAAGATTTCTTATTTATTTGAGAGCCAGCGAGGGAGGGAGCATGAGCAGGGGGAGGGGCAGAGGGAGAAGCAGACTCCCCACTGAGCAGGGAGTATGAAGCGGGGCTCCATCCCAGGACTCTGAGATCATGACCTGAGCCAAAGGCCGACGCTTAACCCACTGAGCAACCCAGACGCCCCGCTGAGTCAGACTTTTGTATATCTTAAATAAGGTACATATTGACATACCCCCCAAAATGTGTGTGTTTGTGTGTGTGTATGCACACACATAAAACTAAACAAAAGTGATTTTAACTTGGTTTGAGAATTTCTGACATCTCTTGGCAATGCAGACATACTTTAGGTGTCACTGGTCTAAAGACCCCAGGTAAGGAGTTAGGCCAGCAGGTGAGGAGCCTCGATGGGATTCGGAACTTTCGACCAGTCCCCTTTAATGTGGTGACCGTGCATCTTTGCTCCCTGCGTTCAGTGTATTCACTGTCAAAGTGATGCATACAACAGAGTGCATGGCACCAGGCTGAGAGGCTGGCTGTTTGCCACAGTTCACTTTGCAATACTTGTCCAGACACATGGCTTGTTGCTGGTTATAAAGGGTTCTGCCTGGAGCCCTCATTTGTTCCTTTCAAGGCAGTAATAGGAAGTAACTCTGCTTCCTGCTTTTACTGGACACAGCTCAGGTGTAATTTTTTTTGTTCTCTCCTTTCCCTTAGGTGTAGCCTTCTCCTCTCTAGCTCTGATCTAGTGGGGTCAAGGGCAGCAGTACAGGGGAGAAGAGCTCTTTCACAGCCAATTAAAAGCAGTAAAGTACATGAAGAGAGGGAAGGGTGAAATGAGAACATTTGCCTCTTTGCTTAGCATTGGTAGGGATCATAATTTCTTTTTGTGACTTTGGGCCCCTCTCCTCCGCGCCGCCACTGCCAGACTTTTGAGTGCCCTCTGATAGGCCAAAGGCAGAATCTGAGGAGTCGTGGATGGTTTTCCTTGCCATATGATGTGCATTTCCAGAGGCTCCAAGGGGGAGGAATTAATTGCACACCTGGAAGGTAGAGTTCATGCCTTGTTCCGCTTTGCATCCCAGCAGCCGACGTGGTTCCTGGAACAAAGGAAATGACAATAAATGTTGAAATGCAAACGTTTACTGGCAGAATTCCCATCCCTGTGAGACTAGCTAAGATTTGTCTCTGGATACGGTCCTCCTTCAGATCTTATCGGTAGGGATACGAGGCCCTCCTCTTAAATGGCAAGCATTTAAAAGTGTTTCAGAAGTATAGATAACCACACAACGGGCTGATGGCGGCATCTAGGAAAAGCCCTTCCTACCGTGCAAGAACCTGCTGGCAATCACTTCACAGTGTGCGGTTCTTGGAATCGGGATCAACATCCCCCTCACCACGGAAGTGTGCCCAGGTCACCGAGCTGCCCTCACGGGCCAGGCACTGCGTCCCTGAGAGATGCAGCTGTGCCAGAGACAGACAGGGTCCTTACCGCCGCGGGGCTCGTGGCTGGGGAGGTGGCGTCATAAAGTCCATTCTCGATGAGGTGTGCAACTGCAGGCAGCACCGTGAGGGAGCCGAAGAGGGCGCCGAAGAGGGCGCCAGGCTCACCCGGTGAGCGAGCGGTGAGCGCGTGGTCAGGGGAGGCTTCTAGGAGGTGGTGCAGGAGAGGAACGCCTGAGGGGAGGGGAGGAGTTCACCAGGCACGGGTGGAGGAGGAGCATCTGCACAAGCCCTGAGGCGGGAGGGAGCTTCGGGAGCGGGAAGAACCCAAGTCCACGGGGCTAGTGGCAGGCAGCAGTGGGAAGTGGACGGCGCAGCAGAAGAGTCTGTCCTCCTGGGGTAACCAGTGAGTTTCCGGAAGAGGAGCGGATTAACCACCGACTCAACCCCCCCTCCCCTCCCCCCCCCACCCCCACCCCTGCCATGTGTACTCATAGTCTGAGTGGTGGTGTCCTGCTTAGAGGTTTCCACTTGATGGTCAGTCTCCGTTGTTTATAGCTTTGCCTCCTCTGTCCTCCTGCCTCTGGGTTATTAGGTTCCTGCAAGTTATTTGGGACCCGGTCAAGATTTCAAGCTAAACATGGTGGCGACGAGTAGCCTGAGGGTCATTCTTCAAGCCTCTCCATGCAAGTCACTGTGGAGAAGATTGCAGACCCCCAGGTTCGTGCCAGCGAGGCCCTGCAGCCTCTACACCTGCACGTACAGAAGCCGGAACCGAGCCTGTGAGTACGCTGCTGCCTTAAAGAGAGCGAGAGGTGGGGGTGCCTGGGGGGCGCAGTCGCTTAAGCGGCCGACTCTTGGTTTCGGCTCAGGTTGTGGTCTCAGGCTTACGGTCTCAGGGTCATGAGATCGAGCCCCGCATCGAGCTCCACACTAGCTTGAAGTCTGTTTGAGATTCTCTCTCCCTCTCCCTCTGCCCTCTGCCCCCCACCTCCCCCGCTGGCCCATGCTCTCTCTCTCTAAAATAAATAAATGAAACTTTTGAAAAAAAGAGAGAGTGAGAGGCTTGGTGTTGCATGACAATGACGTGTGTCCTGTGTTTATCCATAGGTGTCACTGGCATTCCAGAGTGGGATTCTGTGCCTTGAGAATGTGAGAATAACTGCTTGTTTCTTTGTCTTCTAAAATAAATGTGGAAAATTCTTTTCCCCCAGGTTTATTGACATAGAATTGCCACCTAACATTGTGTAGGTCGAAGGTGTGCCATGTGCTGATTTGATACACGTATATATTGCAAAATGATTTCCATAATAGGTTTGGAAAGTTCTTTCCTTGACTAATTTTAACATGTTAAGATGATGTCATGTCGGTGGCGCCTGGGTGGCTCAGTCGTTAAGCGTCTGCCTTCGGCTCGGGTCATGATCCCAGGGTCCTGGGATCGAGCCCCGCATCGGGCTCCCTGCTCAGAGGGAAGCCTGCTTCTCCCTCTCCCACTCCCCCTGCTTGTGTTCCCTCTCTCGCTGTGTCTCTCTCTGTCAAATAAATAAAAACACAATCTTAATAAATAAATAAATAAATAAATAAATAAATAAATAAATAAATAAATAAATAAATAAATAAATAAAATGATGTCACGCAGAAATAGGATCAGAGAGGTGTCCCAGTTTCAAATACTCTGGAACCTGTTCTGTATCGTTCTTGTTAGCAACAGTCTTCTTACTGACATTGATCCACAGACCGCGAATTATTTCTGTGAGTCTTAACGTTCTGGAAGTTGCATGTTAATGTTTGTCAGCAGGTCAGTAGCTTCACGCTCTGGAATATTCTTTCTCAAGTCACAAATGGCAGCGTTCATTCTAGTTGACCAGCTTACCAGTGTGTGCTCTGCCGTAGACGCAGCATATCAAGCGAGGCAGCAGATGGCCTTTCCTGAACGCTCTCGTATCTCATTCCCCTCCTGAAATACCAGTTCCCTGCCCCGTCCCTATGGTGCAGGGATTGTGCACCGAGGTACTATTGACACGAGGGATGGGTCATTCTGTGTTGTTGTGGGTGCAGTGTGCACTGTAGGGTGATTAGCAGCATCCCTGCCAAATACCCATTAGATGACAGTTGTATCCCCACCCAGTTGTAACAACCAAAAATATCAGCAGACATTACCAAATGAGCTCTGGGGGCACAAAACTGCTCCTGCTTAAGAATCAGTAGGACGGGGACGCCTGGGTGGCTCAGTCGGTTAAGCGTCTGCCTTTGGCTCAGGTCTTGATCCCAGAGTCCTGGGATTGAGTCCCGCATGGGGCTCCCTGCTCAGCGGGGAGTCTGCTTCTCCCTCTCCCTCTGCCTGCCACTCTCCCTGCTTGTGCTCTCTCTCCTTCTCTCTCTCTCTGACAAATAAATAAATAAATATATATCTTAAAAAAAAAAAGAATCAGTGGGACGATAGGAGAGAATAATGTATTTATTTGTGGAGAGATGAGTTTGAATTTGTGGAGAGGTAAAATGGCTAAGTATATTGTTAAAGAGGAATTTTTCATATTTTCTGTGATTTTAAAGGAATTGACAAGAGTTTTCACATGTTGCCTTCCTTCTGGGTCTAAGTTTCTCCACTTTTTCTCTTTGGGTTTACTCTCTTTTGATTTCATATGCACGTAATAAAAAAAGAAGAAGGTAAGAAAGGAATGCTTTTAAATTAGTAAAACTAATCTAGCTAAATCCAAGGATTTGGAACTGCTCCATAAATACATTTCTATTATATATTTACTTTGTTTCCTCCAACAATGACAGTGTTCTCATTCAAGTGAACTGGTTGGAGTCATAACAAATTTCTGGTTGCTGGGTGTGGCTTCCTAACGACAGACCTACATCCTACCAGGACTGGCTTATTCTCAGCACTGGCATTTTGTGGTCTGAGGCTTAAAATGGAAAAAATTAGTCATGTTCATGTAGTTTCTAAAGTTTTACTTTTTTTAACAGAGAGTTGAAAGTTAAAGGTCTAAAATCCAACATACGAATGTCTTTAGGATAGTTTGCTTCTTCTAGGGCAGACTAAAACAAAAAGTGGTGGCTTGGGGAGATGTGGGCTTTCCGTGATTAATTTGTCACATCAGATGTTCTTGTTTTTAAGTTACTAAGAAAAAAAGGTAACAGACATGATCTGATTTGGTTTTTGGCATATTGCACCACCCCTCCCTTTTCACAGGGGAGAATATTATAGTCTCTGCTGCCCTGAGCCACTGAGCATGTTGTCTTCCTAAATCCCAGACCCTCCGCTGAGCAGTTGTAAAAACAATACACATTGTATCTGGCAACTTAAAACTCCAGCAGAAGGCCCATTGTCTACTTGTGTGACAGAGTGACCCAAGATCATTGAGGGTTAGAAAAGATAACATGGAAAGTCCTTAGCTGGTGCCTGCCACACAGTGAGGACTGTGTTGGCACGTTACTTCTAGTACTAGGATTATCATCATCACCATCTTTATCATCATCATTATAGGCTCAGTGCCTCCCTCAGATGTTTGAACATTGTTAAGATTGGGTTAAGCAGAATGAGGAGTAAAGGAAGTAGAGGATATGGCAGATTCAGAAAGCAGCCTATCTGTGCTTTGTGCTTCACCTTCACTCCGCTCCCCGCCCTTCCCAGGGAATCATTGGCTGTCCACTCACATTGCTGTTTGCTCTTATCTCAAGGAGCAGACAGTGTTGACAATCCTAACTTGCTTTGTAATATGACAAAATAAAGATAAAAGGCTGCACCTGTTACCCAAGATGAAAATAAAGTCAAATTCACTTAGTATATCTTCTACTGAAATTTATTTTGTCACATAAAAAATCTAGGGTTAGAGCATATCAGGAAACAAAGCCGAACAGTCAACAACAAGAAAATCTGATTTAAAAATCTAATAAAAAAATGGATCAGAGCCCTTACTTAACAGGCACCTCACCAAAGAAGATCTATAGATGGCAAATAAGGGTATAAAAAGGTGCCCTACTATGTGTTCTGTGATCAGGGAAATACAAATTAAAACAACAAGATATTACCACACATATTACAGTGGCCAAATTCCAGAACACTGACCACACCAAGTGGTTATGGGGGTGTAGAGCAACAGGAACTCTTACTCATTGCTGGTGAAAATGTAAAACGGTACAGCCACTTTGGAAGATAACTTGGCAGGTTCTTTTAGAACAAAATATATCCTTGCCATACAATCCAGCAGTCATATTCCTTGGTATTTACCCAGCACTGTTGAAAACTTATGTCTGCACAAAAACCTGCACATGGATACTTACAGCAGCTTTCTTCGTAATTGCCAAAACTTGGAAGCAGCCAAGATGTCCTTCAGTAGATGAATGGATATCTTAACTACGGCATAGCCAGACAATGGAATTTTCTTCCTCACTGAAAAGAAATGAGGGCGCCTGGGTGGCTCAGTTGGTTAAGCAACTGCCTTCAGCTCAGGTCATGATCCTGGAGTCCCGGGATCGAGTCCCACATCGGGCTCCCGGCCCAGCAGGGAGTCTGCTTCTCCCTCTGACCCTCCTCCCTCTCATGCTCTCTGTCTCTCATTCTCTCTCTCGCAAATAAATAAATCTTAAAAAAAAAAAAAGAAAGAAAAGAAATGAGCTATGAAGCCATGAAAAGAAATGTAGGAACCTTAAATGCGTATTACTAAGTGAAAGAAGCCAATCTGAAAAGGCTGTATACTCCGTGATCCCAACTATATGACGTTCTGGAAAAAGCAAAACTATGGAGACAGTAAAAAGATCAATAGTTGCCATGTGTTAGAGTATAGGGAGGGATGAATAGGTGGAGCAGATGATTTTTAGGGTAGTAAAAATACTCTGTATATTATGATGGATACAGGTCAGTATACATTTGTCCAAACCTATGGAATATATAACACCAAGAATGTCAACTATGGACTTTGGGTGTTATCCTGTGTCAGTGTAGGTTCATGAATTGTAACAAATGTCCTACTCTGGTTGGGGATGTTGATAATGGGGGATGCTGCATGTGTGGGGACAGGGGTAAATGGGAAATCAATGTACCTTAAATAAATTAATGGATAAATAAAGTCTTAAAAAATTAAACATGAGGGGTGCCTGGGTGGCTCAGTCGGTTAGGCATTACCTTCATCCCGGGTCACGATCTCAGGGTCCTGGGACTGGGCTCCACATCGGGGTCCCTGCTTAGTGGGGAGTATTCTTCTTCCTCTCCCTGTGCCGCTCTCCTCTGCTCATGCACATGCTCTCTTTCTCTAATAAATAAATAAAATCTTTTAAAAAAATTAAACATGAGATCTTAGAGCATAACAATATAAATTTAATAATGTTAATTCTTAATTAAATTTAAAGAATATCATCTAGAATTGATATGGTACATATTTGCTATTTATTATTATTTCATTGATTCTTATTATTCATGATCTCTACTTTTAGATGGAAGAAAAATATTTTTTTAGGACAGTGTGGAATAGAATGGCACTGTATAAAATCTAGCCACTAGTCCCATGTGTTTATTTTCATGTAAATATAAATTTATTAAAATGGTATGGCTGCATGTTGCTAGCACTTACCATACTGAAAATTTCCGTCATCAGAGAAGTTCTGTTTGACAGGACTGGTCTGTATTATAACTGAACTGTGTTAGAAAGTTGTTCCATTATTTCTCCAATTAATTTTGAAGGACAAAAATCCTCGAGAACGTTAGTATTAAAAAGTTTGCTGTGCAGTGCCAGACAGAGTCTCTCATTAACATTCAAATAACCCTCAGAAACAATAG